GTAGTCTGATGAACTTCTGCCATCTGAACCTGAATGGGAGAATCTTCTGAATCTGTTGGTTGTTGGGCCAAGCATCCCAGCATTTGCTCTGTCTCCAGCTCCTTGAAAACCTGTGTTTCCTTCCAGGGAGGTTATCTTTTCTAGCGACAAGACAACATTCTTGTGTATTCTCTCTTTTACTCTCAATCTCTGCCCCCGCCCCCCACGCCCATGACTCACATAATAGCATCACACTCGAAATCAAATATGAGGAAACATTAAAAATGATTAAATCTAGGTGATGGTCTATGGAAATTCATTATATTAATGTCTCTCCTTTTATGCATGTTTGCCAACATTATAATAAATGAGAGGCTGAATGTACAGAGGACAGATGGCCAGACCTTACTTAAAAACAGAACTCAACACATGGGGATTACAATTGAGATGAAAATAAATGTGCAAAATGATGTAAAAATAAACTATTATATAAACTACTATATATATATATAAACCAACAGATCTCAGACCCACAAACTGCAGCAACCAAGGCAGGAAATCAACCCCTTATCTACACTTCCCAGATAGGAAGTCAGCTTGCTACCTCCAGTCAGTCTTTGAGGAAGCAAGACCACTATCACTAGCCATCAGCCCAGGAAGTCACACGACAACTGAGGACAACTGATTTTTGACAAATGCACCCACCTACTTCAGGAGAGGAAGGAAAGTCATTTCAACAAATGGTGCTGGTATGATTGGATATTCATGCGGAATAAAATGAAATGACCCTCTCCATGCCATCAACAAAAATTCTGAGATGGGGGCATGAGTATAATCTGAACTCAAAAGCTATAACTATGAAGCTCTTAGGAAAAAGTATAGCAGAATATCTTTATGACCTGGAGGCAGGTGACATTTCTTAGGACAGAGAAAGCAATAATGAAAAAAGAAAGAAAAAAAAAATCAATAGATTTTATCAAAAATTTAAAACTCCTGCTCGAAAAGTTACTCAGAAGAAAATGAATAGGCAAGCTAGGGACTGGGAGAGAATTTCTGCAAAGTATGTACTTGTTGTGTTGAAAGATTTGTATCTGGAATATATAACACAATATACAATTAATAAAAGTAAAAACAGCCCTCTATTTAAAAATAGGCAAAATAATTTGGAAAGAATCATTATAAAGGGAGGTAAACAAAGGAACACAAAACCCATGGAAAAAAATGTACAATGTGGGATTTTACAGGAAAATGTAAATTAAAACCATAGAGTGATAAGCCACATATTCACCAGAAATTTAAAAAATCTCATGATACCAAATGCTAGCAAGGAGATGGAATAACCAGAGCTCGCATACCCTACTGGTGGGTAAAAAAAATGGACAACCCTGTTGGAAAAATTTGGTAGTTTCCTATAAGGTCAAACAAAGCTCTGCCCTCGGAGATGCAATTCACTCCTGCCTCAGTTCCTGACTGTGTGTATGACGGGCTGTGCCACACGGCTGCCTGTGCAGCAGGTAAGGCCCCGATGTCTGTGTCATGACACAGTGATGAAATCACCTAAGGACACATTTCTTAGAATGCATCTTCCATGAAGTCATGTGTGACCATATGTTTGTCAAGGAGAAACGAAAGTAGTTCCACTCCTAGATATTTACCAGTCCAAGATAAATGAAAACCTCTGTCCACAAAAGGCGTAAGTATATAGTCATAGCAGCTTTATTCAGAATAGTCCAACCCAGAAAACAACCTAAATGTCTAGGATCGAAAGGAAAGTGTATATTCGTACATGGGATGTTTTTAAACAACAAAGAGGAACTTACTTTTCATGTGCCCATCACATGAACAAGTTTCACAGACAGATTGAATGAAAGAGTTCATATATTGCATGTTTACATTTATGTGATATTCTAGAAACTTCTTTAAATTTTTTTAAAAAGATTTGTTTATGCATACAGAATTGGGTGCAGGTCAGAGGTGGGGAGGAGGATTCCCCAGAGACAGAGTGGGAAGCAGATGGACTGAAATACACTGCTGGGGGAAGCAGTGGGTGGGACAGGAAATTCTGCTGCACCATGTGGGTCAGCTCCCTGGCCAGAGATCGAACTCATGGTGCAGTGGCTGCAATAGCTTCATAGTGTTGTGCTTTAACCCGTTGTGCCACTGATATTCTAGAAACTTCTAAGAACTGAACTGATCTAAGGTAACAAAACTCAAACAGTGGTTATAAGGGTGGGAAGGCTAGCTGGGCTTCTCTGGGGTGGATGGAAATGTTCTATCTTGTGATGTTGTTGTGTGTTAATAGGGAGCCTATTTATCAGATGGTACACTAAGACTGGTGTGTAAATTGCACCCCACACAAAAGGGTTGTGAAAATCTTAAAGATAGTTGAGTGAGTCACGTGGGGAGTAGGACAAAGTCCAGCTAACCCAAATTTGTTGAAAATGATTGAGGCCATATGAAAAAGCATGTGAACAGGCACCAGCTTGCCCTGGAAAAGGAAATTAGGGGTGTGGGCAAGGGTAAAGTGACCCCGGAAAAAGGCAGAAATGTTAAAAGGAAATCTAGGGGGTGAGGCTGCTCCTGGCTCTCACTGTATAACTGATTGTGGAAAGGCAAGGTGCTCAGAGGAAAGGAAAATACTCCTTGGAGAAGTTGGGAATTTTGACAGGTGATAGAGATGGGGAGGGGAAGGGGAAGAGCATCACTTCCAAGATCCCCAAGTTGTCTCTCTAAAGCAGAAGCAGCAAGGCGTGCTTGAGGAGCACTAACGCCCTTTGGGCAGGAACCGCCATTTTCAGACAGTGAGCTGGCGACCATGTCCCGCGCTTTACCAGCATCGCCTCATTCAACCCCCCTCATAGATCACTGAGGGACATGCACTGTTAATCTCATTTCACAGTTGAGGAAGTTGAGGATCAGAGAGGTTAAGTGACTTGTCCAAAGTCACTCAGCAGAAGAATATCAAGGCAGGACCCTGTCTGACTGCAGAGCCCCAGAGCCTGGGTTTGGTCTATACTGACTACCACCTCCCCTCCAGCTCCCCACTGTGGGCCGGTTTTGATTTTGTTTTCAAACTGGGGGACCATGAGAGGAGAGGACACTTGAATAAACATGAGCAGTGAAAGAAATGCAGTGGTGGCTGCCAGGGTGAGGGTCAGCCAAGCGCGTCTGGGGAGCTGTGAGGACATGGGGTGGGGCTGGGACCAGCAGGGCATGCAACGCCCCCCCTCCTCGCACCCCCCCCCCCGCCCTGTGTCCAAGTGGAGCATTAGAGCGCCTGTACATACCTCTTATTTCACCTGGAACACCTCTTCTCCATCTCAGTCAGAGGAGGGTGGTATTATAATTCCCACTTTACAGTAAGGAAACTGAGGTGCAAACCTGCCTGGCCCCAAACTCAAGCTTCTGCATCCTGCACCAGCCGCACTCTCTCAAGGATGGAGCCCTGCCTGTCCCTTGCCCTTCCCCCCCCCTTCCTCTTCAGTGCACCCCTCCACCCCTCCACCTACACACACTCCCTGACATGCTGAAAGACAGTCAATATTCGTAGGCTGCCAGATTCAGTCAAGCAAACGACAAAATGCCCGATTAAATTAGAATTCAAGATAAACAACAAGTGCTTCTGTAGTCTAACCGTGTTCTAAATACTGCACAGCACATACTTACGCCACACGTTTGTTCTTTGAATTTGTCAGAACTTCGAACTTGCATCCTTGTGATGTACATGCTAACTAACTGATATTACGAGGCCCTGTTGTGCTTGGGCCGGAGTTATCTGCCCCCTCCCCAGCTTCTCTCCCAGATAGCAGCTGGGCTATTTTGGGAATTGTAAGAACATGTGTGAGCCCTATTACCTCGCAGTGGGGGAAGTGAGCCCCGGGCCAGAGTCCTGGGCCTTCCAGTGGGAAGGGAGGAGATGGGGATACGGAATGCAAGGGGCAGAAATAGTAAGAGGAATTGTTCTGAGAAAGGCCTGACCAGGCATTTGCTTTTGAAATCCCTGAGAAATGGAGGGTCTTGCTCTCTCCCCATGGAGTCCTACCAGCACCCCACCGAGCTGCCAAGGATAGTGGCTCCCCCCCAACCCCCTGCAGCTGTTCCCCTGATAAGGTGGTGGCAGCTGTTCCCCTGATAAGGTGAGTGGGGCCCGGTGCCTGGGCTGATAAAGTAGGGGCCAGTGTGTTTTGAACGCCTGGGCACGGCCACCCGGTCATCTGCTCACAGCACTTCTAGGAAGGGAAGTTCCCCAAAGGTCATACTCGGCCCAGAAGGTGCCACTCACCTCTCCCTTTGCACATGAAGCCAGTGCCCAGTGCCCCGGCGCTGCCCCATGGCAAGGTGCACAAACAGCCCTGGTGATGGTGTCTGCTTTCACCTGCGTTACCATCCCCGGGTGCATGTTCACTGCTTCTGCTCGATCCTTGTTTACAGGCGCCCGCTTGCTTTTTCCCCTTCCGCAGGCGAGACAGGCCCCCACCTGCCATTGTGCTGCACCTTGTTCTCTAACATCTGCCCTGGGCTCCTGCCACACCTGCCCAGGGAGGGCTTGACAGGCACTGAGGTCTGATAGGGGATGTTCAGGATGACAGAGTGTGCAAGGCCCCGCCCCTGCAGGCTGGGATCTGAGGGTGGCCTTTACTTCCCTCCTGGTTCCTTTTTTGTTCCTGCCGCTGCTCAGCTTTGGGAGTTGAACCCTGCTCAGCCACTGCCACAGTGGCCACAGGGTGAGGCCCGAGGCTGTACACACGGGGCTGAAGCAGGTGCAAAGCAGCGGCATCCCTTTCCTGGCCAGCATGAGCCAAGCAGGCATTTGCCTCGACGGTGCTGGCAGTCCTTTTCGGTCTGCTGGCAGTGGCTGTACCCCCTCCCGGGGGACAGCCCTTCTCCTCTGCCTGTCATTCACGTTTGTTATCCCAGTCCAGTCCACAGATGCAACATACTCCAAAGCAAGTGGAAGCCAGCGCGTTCCTCCAGGGAACATGGCGGGAAGTGCTGAGGGGATGGATCCCCTTTCCACTTACCTGTCTTTGTATCCAGGGAAGGACGGGGATCTGGGAACCACACACAATTCACACAGGGAAGAAGCCAGCAGTGAGTTTCTGTTCAAGTTCTTCATCCCAGCCAGAGAGAGCCTCCCTGGCCCCTTCCAGGAGTTGGTGTGCAGCGAATCACTGCTGAGCAGGCTCCAGTGGGGATGAGCTCACTAGGATATGGGCTAATGGCTTAACCCTTTGCAGGGTATAGCACTGATACTGTGGCTTTGTCTCAGCTCAGCTCAGCCACTATTAGATGAACCTTGTGAAAAATTAATGAAGCTTCTCTGCAGTCTGTCTTCGAGTTTTGGTGGAGAGGTGCATTAGGTTGGTGCCTGGCAGGGCTGCTTCTTCTGACCCAGGTTCAAAAATCAGGAGACCTGGAGTTTCTGGTTTGGTACATGTGTGATGGTGATAGTGGTGGGGATGGATTGTCAAAGGGTGGGTTACCTAGAGGCTAAGCTAGATCTGCTCAGGTACCCGTTGACAGTGAGATCTGGGGTCCCTAACTGGCCTGGATGTTGGCGGGAGCAGGTGCAGACTTATTTTAATATCCTTGGTTCCAAGATAGCAGGGATATCTCTGGGAATTCTCATTGCCTATTGGTGGGTCTCTTCACTGGCCAAATGGCCGGAGGCCACCACAGAAGGTAAGCTGGGCACATGGGCGTGTAGACATCTCTGAACTGGAGACCAAGCAACATGTTCCTCTTTGATCCTCCATCTTCCCTGATTATGCCCCTATGAATTTTCATGGGATGCCACTGTTACTGCAATGGAGAGAATGATGAAAATCACTGCAATGTTGGAGAGGGGTAGAGGAAGGAGAGGGTTGCTGCGGGGTGGGGGGTGGGGAAATTAACCTCCTCTTAATTTGTGCTTGTGGAAACTGGGATTCACAGATTGCGTGGCCTGTTCTCAGGTTGCTGAGAGATATTCTGGAGCCACCATAATTGCCTGCGATGCTGAATGTCAGGCTGGCCCTGCCCTGTTCCATGATGAGCAGAATGTGAGAAGTCTTTGCATCTCAGGCTGTGAGCCAGAGAGTGAGGGATTGCTCCTCTGGGGTCTCCCAGGAGTGATCCAGGGAAGCTAAGGCCAAGGCAGGAATGGGAGTCTCCCATCTCTGGCAACTTGATTTTCGCATCTGTGAAATGAAGTGGGACATTTCCAGCCAGGGCGGCTCTGTGGATGCTGGTGTGTGGCCCATGAAGAGAGCTATGAGGTCTCAGCTGTCCACTGAGCTGTTGAAGGGGCAAGAGCTGAGCAGAATTTTCTTCTGACCTTGGTGAAAGGGGAGATTTCTCTGCTCAGAAAAAAATGGAAGCAGGAAAAGGGATGAGTATTCAGGAAACTTAACTTTGAAAACTTTATCAGTACAAGATGCTAACCAGCTGAGCTAACTGGTAGACCTTTCTTCTTCTTCTTTTTTTTGTGTGTGTTTTCCAACACTGCACTGAGCACATGCGTGTTTGGTTCCTATTGTGTTTTACTTGGGCAGCCCTGTGATAGATTCTTTAAATCTCTGGTAAAGTTTCTTTCTCTTAATTTCTTTTCATTAGGCAGTGGGAGTCATTGTGTTTCCTTCTTGGCTCTGTCTCCCAGGAGGTTCTGCAATGGCACAAAAATTCGATTTTTATAGTTAACTGCAGCTGTTATCTTTGAACATTTCCTTATCACTTTTAACCACCTAGTTTCCCCCCCATGATATTACTTATTTTTATTAATTCATCAGTTGTTTGCATGTTTATATAACGCTGGGGCTGCATGTTCCCTCCTTCACCTAGGCACATGCTTGCTCGAGCTTGGCACTGCCTTGGATGCTTCTGCCTGTGTCCTCAATAAAGTTTGTTAAAACAAAGGCCCTGGCTCCTGAAGAATCCAGGGCTGGGTTATTTTGCAATGCAAATAAATAAAGAATTTCCCCCTCCCCCTCCCCAGTTCAAATCTCTCTGCCTTCCTGTGAGCTTTGCAGGGCGTGGCACTGCTGGGCAGTAATAGCTGTCCCCCTAGCTCTTCCCTGTGTCCTACAGCAGTCTAGCTGTTTTTCATGTATCTAATACTTCACTGACTATCTCACACAATCTGATGTGGTAGGTATGTGAGGTAGATTATTATCCTTATTTGACTCTGGACAAATGACTTAATTTCCCTGAGTCTTTATTTATTTCTTCATCTATGAAGTAGACGTGGTCATTGCTACCTCAGAGAGGTTTTGTGAGGAGTCAATGAGAAAATGAACCTAGCAAGTGCCAAATGAACATGTAGGTGTACATAGTGCAGGCGTGCATCGATATAGCACATGTACATAAAAGCACATAAGTGGATGTGTGCTTTTATGTGCACACATACGTGTGTGTGCATACATCAGCATATATGCAAATTAGGTAGGATTTGGAAGTTCAGGAGAAAGTGTTAGGGTAGACAAGTTGTGCTGTCTGCTGGTTTCTCCTTAGCAGTTCAGAAAAGCTGTCCTGGGAGTTAAAGGCTCAGCACAGTTTAAAGGATGGAAGGTCAGGCCCCGTTTCTAACAAGTAGGAACTTTATTGCATTCCCTGGCAAGGTTCACAGACCCCAAAGAGAGGGTAGAGGTCAGTGAAGTCGTGCTGCTGGGGAGTACGGTAAGTTTCTATAGGGGAGGGAAGCTGCTTTGCTTTGCTTTTTTGCAAGACAATTAATCAGCAACGCTTTATCTGCATGCCAGTGTGCAGAGATGATTCCCAGAATGCAGGCAGTTCCCAGACTTCAGGAGGCTCAAGGATAGGAGGCTCCAGGCATGCAGACAATAACAGCCCCAGATTCAAGGTTTCTGCACCCAGCCTGCCCCAGGCCCCCTCAACCTTACAGGGAGGAAGGGCTGCTGTAGTTGTGACAGGGAAGCAGGTCAGGCAGCACCTGAGAGGTGGTTCCTTACCCTCTGCCTAGGTGCTTCAGTTCCCAGCCCTGCAGTTAGAGCTACTTCCCACTCCGCCCTGTCCCTCACCCCCACCGCCTTTACCAGCTAGCCCAGCATTCCCTGAACCGCTGCTTCCGCTGCTTCCCTGGGGACCAATCGTTCCTATTACCCAGGACTGACAGTTTTCCCATGATATGGGACTTTCAGTGAGAAAACCAGTTCCAAGCAAACCAGGATGAATTAAGTTAATGAAAACTTCTGGTAGTGCCATGCACATAGGCACTATCCATCTGGAATGTTCTTTCTAACCCTCTTCATTTAGCTAATTTATTTAGTAGACCCTCAACCACCACTAAAAGAACTTCCCTCGCATTCAAAGTTCTCCTCAGAAGAGAGTTGCTCTCTTGCTTTATTTATACACACCTTGGTAATTGCTGGTATTACCTCCCCACCACACTCACACACACACACACACACACACACACACACACACACACACACACACAGTCCCCAAACAAACTCCTGGGAATGCTGGAATGATTTTTTTAATTAAAAAATGTTACTATAAAAATTTAAATATATACTAAAATAGAAAAAGTTATCTAATAAACTTCTACAGACCAGCTTCAGCAATTATCATTGTTCATTCTCTTACATTTGTATCCCACATACATTTTGATTTTTCTATTTTAGAGCAAATCCCATAAATCTCTTTGATTAAGCCTTGGAAGCAGAGATATGTCCCTCTAACAGCTAAGAACTCCCATCCTTCCTTTCTTATTTTTTTAAAAACATTTGTCACATAAATTTAGACATTTCTTAGTGTTCAGACCCATTGCACATTCTTTTTCTTTTTTTCCAAGGTGACACTGATTTACAACCCTGTAATACATTGCAGGGGTTACCTCCTCACCCCTCAACCACGGTGGATATCACATGGTGCCCGCCACTGAAGGTCTAGTTATATGGGCCACTGTCCGATCAAACCCTCCCACATTCTAACACTCATGCCACATTGACAGCCCCCACCACTGTCTCCAGATCACCTTTTTATGGTCAGTTTTCCATAACACAGGCTCAAAGCAAGTGCTAGCCATTGCTCTGAATAACGATGTTTCTCAAGCACCTTTTCATCTTTAGTAACCCCTCCTCCTCTGTTCACATTATTTACTTAGTGAGGATACAAGGTGCTCTGCCTGGACAACCTCCCACACTCTGGCTTTGGCTGGCTGCTGCTTCAGGGCATCCCGGAACAGTGCATTCTGTAAGAGCATTCTGTAGCCCAGAACTCATGGTGCCTTGGCCCAGAAGTGGTCTGGGCAGAGTGGAGTACGTGGCAGACATCCCTTACAATTGCCAGAAGCAGGTGCTTGCAGTAGCTGCAACACAGGCAGGATCACCTTTGTTTGGCTTTCCAGTGGCGATTCTGGGACAGGTGACAAGAGGGCAAACTCAGCAGTTGGGGGGACCCTTCATCCTGCCCCTCTGCCTCTCACTTCAAATCACAGGGATTAACATATAGGGCCTTCTGGAGGAATGGCAGGTCTCCAAGTCTTCAGAGGAGACGTTTTCATGGGTCTGGGTATCTTCTGCCAAGGTCAGTTCAGAGGGGGGAACAGGGTTCTCATGACAAAAGTGAAGCCCGGGGCTGGGGGAGAAGGGGGGCTGGTTGGGGGAGACAGTCTGGCTGTGGCGCTTCAAGTCTGACGAAGAGGTGTTTGTGTAAACAGCACTGTCACTGGGGCTCTTGCCTCAGTATGTGCTAGTTTCCCGATTTGATGAGGGAATATTAGTTTACCACACTGTACAGGTTTCAAGTACAAGAGGAGATTCTGACCTTAGCAACTGCATAGCTCACACCACACCCACCACCGAGTGTCAGTCACCACCCACCACCAAGCTATCTGCTCCCCACTTCTGCCCCTCTATGCCATTTTGTTGTTTGTTTGATTGCTTTTGTTCCTCACAATAGTCTACAAATGAGTAAAAACCCTATGTTATTTGTCTTTCTCTTATAATTCCATCAAGGTCTAAACATGTTGTCAGAAGTGATACAACGTCAGCTTTTTATGGCTCAGTCGAATTCCATTGTGTGGAATGTATCTGCCAAAGCTTCTTAACCCACTGGGCTTGCTTGTTTCCATGTCTTGGTTACTGTGAATAGTGCTGCCAGGAAATTAGGTGTGCACAGATCTTGTTGAATTTGGTGCTTTCAGATTCCTTGGGTGTAGACCCAGAAATGGATTGCTGGATCATGAGCACTATAATCTTATCATAGCATGGCAGCTCAT